GTAACTCAGGTCTGGGCTTCAGCATCGCAGGTGGCACTGATAACCCACACATCGGTGACGACCCATCCATTTTCATCACCAAGATCATTCCTGGCGGGGCTGCAGCCCAGGATGGCCGCCTCAGGTGGGGAGAGGAGATAGGGATTAAGATTCTGGTTCCCTGGAAAGGGAGGGCCAGGGCAGCAGGAAGTTCTTGGCTCAGGCCCACCTTGCTGCTCCCAGGGTCAACGACAGCATCCTGTTTGTAAATGAAGTGGACGTGCGGGAGGTTACCCACTCAGCGGCGGTGGAGGCCCTCAAAGAGGCAGGCTCCATCGTCCGCCTCTATGTCATGCGCCGGAAGCCCCCAGCTGAGAAGGTCATGGAGATCAAGCTCATCAAGGGGCCTAAAGGTAGTAACTCATTTTGTCCCTAACCCCATCACAACAGTCTATGCCCCAAGGCCTGCTTCCTAAGCACCTGGGCACCCACCTCTGCCCTCCCCACCATCCAGGTCTTGGCTTCAGCATCGCAGGGGGCGTAGGGAACCAGCACATTCCGGGAGATAACAGCATCTATGTAACAAAGATCATCGAAGGGGGTGCCGCCCACAAGGATGGGAGGTTGCAGATTGGAGACAAGATCCTGGCGGTGAGGACCCCATCACTTTTCTGGCCCAGACCTGGGTCTCACCTGCTGGCCCTAGGCAGGCCCAGGTTCCTTATTACCTTACCTCAGCACATCTGCTTTGGGGCCATTTCTGGCTCTGTCTAAACTTTGCTTCCCTTGACCCCAGGTCAACAGTGTGGGCCTGGAGGATGTCATGCATGAGGATGCTGTGGCAGCCCTGAAGAACACGTATGATGTTGTCTACCTAAAGGTGGCCAAGCCCAGCAATGCCTACCTGAGTGACAGCTATGCTCCCCCAGACATCACAACCTGTGAGAGCCCTTTGAATCCCAAAGCTCCCCATGACATGCAATCCTATGACATCCCTGTGGCTGTTTCTTTTCAGATGTTCCCCATGAAATAGCCACAACCTCTGATACTTGCTGTGGTTGGAGAAGAGATGGAAAATCAGTCACCATAAAAGAGCTAGAAAAGATTGTCAACACTGTCTCCTCCAGAAGGCATAAAGCCCAGTTGGTTTTATGGCTAATTTTATCAAATTCTCAAGGAATAGATAATTCTTTTGCTCTTTTAGATTATAGGAAAAGATAAAAG